ATTTTAACTGTTCTGAAATGCTAAGGAAATAGAGTAAAACTAGAGTGAGGCTACTAATGGCACATTGGTAACTTCTGTAAGAAGAGTGACATTAGAAGGACATACAGCAGTAACCTCATTTATGTTGTCTGTGATTCATCACATCATATTGTATTTAATGAAAAGCCAAACTTGGTCTCAGATTTTGTCTTGATTTGTATATTAGTTTATTTATATTATTAACAATTCAGATGATCTACTCTTTAATAACACTCAACAGGAATAGCATCTCCTGGCTATTCCTGTTGAGTGCATTGCACTACTTGATGATTTTCAAAGGACTAAAAAGGTATGAGGCCCAATAAATTCCACATCCTCTGTGTGTGTATATCGCAGCAGGGTAAATCACACTGCTTCTAAAACTACCTCTTGGTGTTAGAAGAGAGGATCCGGTGCAACTCCCACTGGCTCAGCCCTGACTTACAGTGCATACATCTCGGCGAGTGATGTGTGGCCAAAGGTGCAATATAAATATCTGACGCTCTGATTCACTGACATTGCTGCGAGCCGAGGTATTGCACCTGAGTGAAATGTGCTGTTGACTGTTACGGTGCTGGCCAGGCGATGGGTTATCTCTGCAGTAGAAGGGCTCTTCAGAGAATGGAAAACAAACAAAAGTGGTCCTCAAGGTAAAGAGAGCCTAGGGATTATGCGCTTCAAGAGCTAAAGTCATGAATTATTCGACCCCAACAAAGGAGCACAGGGATTCAAACTCCCAAGTCAGCAGCACTGCCAAAAATGTTCAAATCTTTTAAGTTTTCTTTGTCTGACTGTGGAGAGCTGCCAGTTTCCGACTGTCAAATGGACATGCCTCCTCAGCATATTACTTACCCTTACGACCTGTAGAAGTCTCATGAGCTGGATTGACACACTCTAAGATTTTTATATTAAAGCAAACTACAGTATTTGGAATCACTGCAATTTTAGATCTTTTTTTTACCATGAGGAATGTAGCTGGCTGGAGGATTGTTCAAATGTAGCGACAGTACTACTGTAGAAGCATTGAGCCACAGGAGAGCATGTCAGCAAAATGATTGAGTGATTACTCTCTCATGATTGCTCTCCTGTAGACACATTTGCCTTTTAAATACATAGTTACTACACTTTACAACGAATTCTGTGAAGCAGCTTTGAGACGTTTCGACGATGTGACGAGGCATTATATCAAATGCAGAGATTATTATTTTATTATTGCACCTAGTAACCTGAGAATTTCTCACCCCTCTTGGCAAGCTCGCTTCCCCACTTCCCCCACTCCCCCAAACTCCTTCTTGGATAACATCAAAATCTGCAAGTATAAAAGTCATAGTGCAAGGAAAGCTGAGTGCAGACTAATGTGCAGTGAAACATGGTTCAGAGTTTGACAAAATGGTAGGAGTGGACGCCTGATTGTCCATTCTTCCTGCTCTTACCAACCCGTGGTGTTGCTGAGACTTATTTAAGAAACAGCTGCATTGCTGTAATGGGCGGTGGGAGGGTATGTATTCTGCAGGGATTAAATCAAATGGCTGAAGGGCCTTATTCATCCGAAGCTCTCCTGCGATCTTCTGGTCCAGAGCATTTGTTGGAAGTCATCACTTACTGGGGCTGAGAACCAGTAGTAGCCTCAATTGCACAATAGATTGGACAAGACTAACTCTTCACACCCAGCAGTATCTAGATTAATTATTTGTGTCCTAGATACACTGCAGGCTTGCTTTTCACATTGAACTTTTCCCAGGCTCAAAGTGAACTTTGCTGTCAAGTCCTGCCTTGATGATAATAACATGGAAGTGCTCCATACTGAGCCAAAGGCCACATTGCAATTGAATAGCATGAAGGTCAAATGTGGGGAAATGAAAAACTCACTGCCTCTGATTTGAAGTTCACCGGAGCCGAACCACTGACTTAGGGAACATTGGTGCATCATGAGTTGAAGTCTCCAAGCCTCACACCTACCTTCTTTAGCTGTTGAGACACTTTCTCAAGAACAGTGAGATCACTGCAGGCTGGGATGTTGCCAGTGGAATAAAGACATTGACTTCTCCAGCAGAGTTTTCACCCCCTTTTCATTTCAATTTCAAAGTCAACTACACTGCCACTAACCTTTCCAAAATCCAATTACATGTTTGCACAGTTTGCGAAGTTTGTTATTGGAATTGGTGAATAACGAAGGCTGCAAAGGAAATTTCAAAGAGTTCTGTTTCATTCCAACAAGTGGTACAATTCGTTGCTCCTCTTCTGGTAATGGTGAAAAGCTGCTGTTGTTACACTGGGTTCTGGTTGTTGTACGCTGATGTTGAAATTCACTTGTTTCTGGCTGACTTCTTAATCCCTAAATTGTATTGCATGACTGTGCCAGAATGTAATGCTGTACACAGTTAGAGCCCTGGACTCACGACTGGAAGACCTGACTAGCAATCCCAGCATATGGAGTCTTGTAGTTTAGTCATGAGAACATTCTCCTCGAAAGCAAGAGGACCTGGGTTTGATTCCTGGGCAGGGCAAAATTTAGGCAAGTTTCCTTACTCCACACGCCTGTTTATCTAGCAGAAACCTGGTTGTTAGTCGATTGGCGGATCATTTTTCCATGGATAAGAATCCTTTCAAAAACTTTTTTTTAAAATAATAATTTGGTCATTCAATCCATGACTGTTTGTGGGACACTGCTGTGCACAATTGGCTGCTGCATTTCTCCCACAAAATAAACAGTCAATTTACTTTACAGTTTATTCTGTGAAGTGTTTTGAGACATGTTGAGAACATGATAAGGCACTATATCACATGCAATGATTATTATTAATATTCTTATATACTGAAGCAGCATTTGCATTTAGGCTTCACCAGTCCCAGCTTTTAACCCTATGAGCCAAAGCTCGAATGGGATAGCTAGACAAATAGCGGGAGGTTTGTTACAGTGCTCTCATTGACAAACTGTGTGGTTTTAGCTGGTTGAACTCCACCAATGCTCCAATGCACACTCCTGGGATTCCTGAGCTGTGTTCCTTGCCAACCTGTGCCTAATACTCTCTGGAGTTAGGTACACAGGCTGCAACCTGCAAGAAAAGTGTCCATTACATTCCAGACACAGGCAACATTTCCATATATAAGCGGTAAACATATGTGGAACTAGTTTGGATACTCTTAAGCATTTGTCTGAACCCCCCCAAAAAGTGAATAGCGACTGTGCGTGGTAACCCTGGCTGACTTTGTCTCCTCTCCCTAGCCCAGGTGCACTGAGGCAATTGTCATGTCCCGCCATGTCCCTGCATAATTCAACACAATATTAGAGAATCTTGGACCTCTTTAACCTGTACAGTTCAGTAACACTCCCTAGGGTTAATTTATACACTGTGCCATGGGAGGGAAGGATGGAGGGAGGGAAATTCTTGCATAAACATTTTCAACCAAACTATGCAGAAGGTTTAATTAAAATAATAACAAAAACAAATTCCAAGCATTCGTGCCAAGGCAACCAGCAGTCAATGACTCACATTGGACAAAGGTATAGCCCAACCACACCTTGTGAGCTTCTTGTTAGAAGCTCTCTGAGACACCACTTGCTTGAAGGGCGCTATATAAATGCAAGTTGTTGTTCTTGAATGAGAGAACAGTATTGTCTTCCTATTTATTGTCAAACAATGAAGTATAAAGAAAACCCTTCATTAAGTTCTGACTGAAAAAAACAGAAGCCTGGTATTGATATATGCCCCTTTGCAACTGAAAACCTGTGGTTTATTACACTAATCCTTGACTTTGTATTGGTGAACTACATGAGCAGCCCTTGTTGAATAACGCATAATTATTGAATTTTATCCATCTCAGGAGCACTTCGTTCACAGAATTTGACACAGATGTTGTTCAACTTTTATTCATTTCATGAAAGATATAATGTGGTATTAGCAACTTAATTATGGGTTTATGTCATCCCCAAGGAATTTGTTTCAAACTTACACAGTACAAAGGTTTATGACAGAATAGAGCTCAACTGCTTGGAGACTGACATAGAAGCCTTCAAAATGGCTGGCAAGAAAATAAGAAACAATAAATAAGTTATATCCTTATGACAGAGTAAAAGGATGCACTAAAATTGTTCTGCCGTTAACTATGCCTATAATTTAGGCCTGTGAGACATGTCATTCTGCACCTGGGGACAGGGAACCCTCCCACTCAGCTCCTGTTAACTCTGCAAGCCAATGCTCTAATGGGTAGGGTGGTCCTAGTTGTACAAGCAACAGGAAAGCTTGCCAGACAGTGCTATCAATGTCAAGCTATGTGGTTTTAGTTGGTTAGACTCCAGCAATACCCCCAACGGACATTCTGGGGTCCCAAGCCTTGGTCTCGTCAAGCTATGCCTAATAGTTTCTGGAACTGGGTAACTCAGGCATGTTCCACCAGAGTGGGAGTGAATGAGTGTGCGCAGTGCACTCCACACACATGGCAATTCTCTACAAGATGCTCTCTACGATATCTCTTTTGAAGACCCCTGTCTTATCTAGTCATTCCTTACAACAGCATCATTATTCTCTTCTGCACTGCCCCTGTGCCTTAACCAGCTCTCTTATATCACTGTGACCTGAATTATACACAGCAGTCCAGTTGCCTTGCCAACCTGCGCCTAATACTTTCTGGAATTAGGTAAGCAGGATGCGTCCTTCCAGGGAGAGGTGCGCATTCCATTCCAACAATCTATCTCTGGAATTTCCTTGGGTAGGTGGGATGCATGGAATTCTCAGTTTTGTTTGGATGCTCTTATGCATGGTGATGGGTTTCTGCATGTGTCAGACACCTGGCTGATCCCCCAAAAAACGAGCCACAGTGTTCAGGAAAGGAGAGAAAATATCTTCATGCCTCGTAACTCACTGCTGACTATTTATCATCCTTGATGTGTGGGAGATGTTTACTGTGCACTGATGTGATAGATTGATGTTTGATATGTCATATTATCAGCAATCATTGTTTTCTTCATATCTTATTCACAGAACAAAGAAGTAACATGTACCAGAGAGAAATGCCCTGCTGTGCTGAAAGACTGTGCACTGCTGATTAAACAGAGAGGAGGTTGCTGTGAGAGATGCAAAGGTGAGGTAAAATCCTCATTTGTTCCTTACATATCTATGTCTGGCTGTAGTTTGGTCCGATACAATAGTAGATTAAATTGTTGAATTTTGCCATTGCTCACTCATTTCACAGTACACCGTTTGCCCACAAATATACAGTCAATTCACTTTACAGTGTGTTCTGTGAAGCGCTTTGGGACGTCCTCCTGACGTGAAAAGCGCTATATCAAATGCAAGGATTATTATATTACAGTGCTGGGGGAATGCTGCATTGCCGGAAGTGATGTCCTTCTGATGAAATGTTAAACCAAGGTCTATCTGTCTGTTCAGATGGATGATTAAGATTAAAAGCAAAGGGAATTTGTCCCGGTGTCCTGGCCAACAATCCCCCAAACAAAATCAATTATTCACGCCATGGCTGTTTCTGGAACATTGCCGTGCGCAAATTGGCTGCAGCATTTGCTTACAAAGATATAGTCACTGTGAATCGTGCAAAGCCCTTTGAGACATTTCAATGACATGGTAAGGTTCTATATCAAATGCAGGGATTATTATGTTTATCATCAGTAAGTTTTTCCTGAAATAGCACGGGTCTCAGGGCACATCTGGAGTTCTGATGACTATTGGATTTAAATTGTGAGACTAGCAAAAGGATCTGGTATAATGTTCAGCTTGTGTGAAATTCTCTTGACTTCTGAACGACTTGGGAAGAGTCAGCTGCAGCACATTTGGGATTTACAACATCGCTTCACTATTTACAAATCCTTTCATGAAATATGGCAATTTAGACCTTTGTAGGGTCAGGCTTTGGCTGGTTTGTAGATACCTTGACAGTGTGAGTTTACAAAGGAGAGAATAACCTGGTGCATTATGGACAAGCCTAACTCAGGAACCAGACTACCAAGGCCCCAAAAGAAGGTGACTCGATTCCAATATTCTGCTGCCAGCGCCCAATCTGTGATGAAGGTGTAGGTTGGGGGCGCGGGGGTGCGGTGGGGGGGAGCTTTCACACCACACCATTGATAGAACAGGATGTTCTGTGGTTTGATAATTATCATCAGTGATAATAATATAACTTTGCATGTTGCCATTTTCGTCCCTTGAGCTGACCAATGCCAATTGTATTTGCCACTTTGCCTCTTCCTGCTCTTTCCCCACTGCAAACCGGAAGGCTGCCCAAGATCTAGGTTATTACCCCGCCACTCATTTGTTGCCTGCTGTGGTGGCAGAAGGTACCTCTCATTACTCACTCTATTGACTGTTTCTCTCCTGAGCCAAGCAGCTGAGGCAATAAATTGAGCCTTTCATGAAATGCACGCAACACATCTTGTGAAACTGGGGAGCCTGTGAACCTGCTTCTCCACCTGCTGCTAATACTGTCAGGCAGGGCTCTATTCTTTTCGTTTGGCTTTATGTTGCCAAAAATAACTTCTTTGCACAGTTCTTTTTACTCAGTAAATTTCTGTTCAGTAAAATATTGTGAAATCAGATATTTGATTGTTTGCGGCAGAGATTTTAGCAGGAAGAGAACCACCCACATTCTGACGATTCATTGGGGGCCCAATCCTGATATAAATCTCACTCATTTTGTTTTAATATCACAGTTGCCTTTTTAAAAAAAGATTATAGAAATGAAGGGTTATTAGTAACCTAGTAGCTTTCAAAAGGGAACAGGATAGGTACTTGAAAAGGAAAACATTTGCAGGGCTATGAGCTAAGAGCAGGGGAGTGGGACTAGTTGGATAGCTCTTTCAAAGAGTCGACACAGACACGATGGGACGAATGACCTCCTTCTGTGCTGTGAGATTCTATTTCTTTGAAATGAGGAGTTATTTTGTTCCATGCACTCCCTGTTGATGTGGTTGAACCTCTCTTTTCCTGAGTTTGTAGGTTTGGGGGATTTGCACTTCTAAATAAATTCAGTGAAGTTTCAAAAGCACAATTTCATGTTACTTCAATGAAGAGAAAACCACAATGTTACACAAACCCACTGAAAAGAACAGAGCTGTGGTTCTTTTATACAGTGAGGCATGCAGGAGATTGATAGGCTCTGCATCAATCAGTTATTTTAATAACTTCATAGCTCACAGACAGTACAGCATGGAAGTAGGTCATTTGGCTCATTGAGCCTGTGCTGATTCCTCCATTGGCATAATCTACTTTAACCCCATTTCAATAGGCCCTTTTATATTCTTCCTCTTTAAGTGCCTATCCAATTCCATTTTTAGCTGTTCACTACAAATGATCAGCCCTCTAAATCATAAGAAAGTAGAGCAATGTTAATGATGGTTACAAGTACAATGTAAAATGAGGGCTAGAATCCATGCGTGAATGCAGTGGACTCTCTCCTGAATCTTGGCCCTGAAGCCATTCTTAACCTAAAGGACACTTCTACAACAGCAGGGGTTCTCTGATAAAGCAACTAGATTGAGTTTCTCCCCACTTATTTCCTTTAATTTCATTAATTACACATCATTATTTGGTGAATTGTACTGGAAAACACACACAAATGGAGTGGAAATTGTGGTATTCTGGATATGGGAAGAGCGACTCGGAGTGGCAACTCGTCAAGCCTGTTGAATGTGCGTCACATGTCACACCGATCCGCAGGAAGCCTGCTCCAACGTGCAGTTAAAGTAAATTGTGTAACTCCTGCGCAGTTGTTGTGAATTGTTTTGGTCAGCCGTGTGTCTAACACATGTGGAAACCGATCACCATGCTTAAGAGTATCCAAACCAGACTCAGAGTTCCAGATATGTGATTCTGATATTTTGTTGCCAAGCACATTGCCTTGGAGCCAGCTCAGCTCTGAGGAGATCCAGCATATCAACCCCACCCCCACCAAGATGAATAGTCATTATTTAGTCATTTGATATGGGACAAGTGCAGAGTTTAACCCTCACTAAGTGGATGGCAGATACTAGTAACTGGGTCATCACGATGCACTTCTGGTTACTGGCAAAATTCACTATTTGGTGATATGAAGAGTTGCTGTACGTGAATCCAGGTTGTAATTGTCACATTAAGAGTAAATGCCACATTTTCAACCCCAGCGTCTCGCGCTTGTTACTGCAAAATTGTCCTTGTGTCCAAGGGAGGTCACTCTACCCTGACACTGTCTGCTGGATCCATTAACTCTTCATTGCAGGAAGCAGCAATCTTATTTAGCTAAACCAGATTAAAAAATTCTGTCATATGGAACCTGTGTCCGGAATATTTTATTTAACTCTAAGAAAAACAACGTAAAATTAATTGCATTTAAAAAAAAGTAAAATATCTTTCAACGTGCTGTATTTGGAAGCCCATCATCATAAGTGTGTATGTCATGAGCTTCAGAGATCCCATCCCTAACTACCTGCCTCAGACGGATTATCTCTGACAATTCCCAGTTACACCACTGGGTGGAGCACCCAGCAAATGTGAGGAATCCTTTATTTTGAGGGAGAGGGTAAGAACAGATTGGGGAGAAATAAAGCTTTAGCTTTATTTGTGTTGCACTTTAGAGTGTCCAGAATTGAATTTAGCAGTAATCTTGAAAACGTACAATAACTTACGGACAACAAACTTCAAACTTAAGGACATGTTTAAGATTTCGCTAAATTCTGGATACTGAAATGCTAAGAAAATAGAATAAATTTAAATCCACGTAGATCCACATAGGTATGTCAGAAAATGAAACAGTGTGTCAACAAAAGACAACTGTTCTAAGACATGGTTATTTTCAAAATAAATGCCCTTTTCACTGTTTTATTCCATCCAGACCAGAGTCAGAATCATGCATATAGTTTAGTCATTAATTAATTCTGGTGTACATTTACAGAAGCTGCTGACTCTTTCTAATCTGAATTTATTTATTTCCCTAAAGAGTGTAAGATTGATGGAAAGTTATACAACAGCTCCATGAAATGGCTGGTGTCTTCCAATTCCTGTGTCAGACGTGCATGTCAGGTATGTGCTGCTCTGGCTCCTTCATTGAGTTGTAATGTTAATTTATTCGGCTGGAACTGAACATCTGTGTGTTTGTGTGTATGTTGTAAAGCTGCTGCTGTGTGGGTGTGAGACATTGGGCACTAGTAATTGCAATTGAGGAAAGCAGGTTTCAGCACACCTACTCCTGTGAGTTCCCCAATTTCAGCCAGCTTTAGTTGAAGTGACAAATAGAAGGGGAAGCATGGCAGGCCCCCACTATGTGGTTCCGGGGCAGTTGCCAGCTTGGAGGGGGTAGAGACATCATAGCAAATTACTGCCCTACCTCAAAGCTTCTAGTACCAACCCACTCTGCATATACTCTTTGTTAGAGATAATGTCAGACCTGCATGGGAAGAATAAATAGGAAACAAATAGAGGGAACAGAAACTTACTTTATCTTTCATGCTGAATCTGTTAAAATGGACATACGGACAATTATTTGGATTTTATCTGTTCTCAGATTGCCTCAGAATCATCCGCAATAGCTGCTTTAAAGCTGCTTGCCGCAGATAGATGTGTCGATATTGCGTATTTAACACTTCTTGTATGTCTAGGCTTTGTCAACTTGTTCTTTGCAACTGTGTCCAAGAATTGGAGCTTGTCTAAAAATCTGGGACTGTCAATTATCATTCAAAGAAGTTCAGTTTAATGAAACTCCATTTTTAAGGAAGCATCAAATCTAATTTAGATCAGAACTCCCAGCACATGGTGGTAGCTTCACCTTTTTTTCACAGAGTGTTACATGAGAACAGGTGGAGTATTTTTAAGATCCAGTAAGATTCTATAGAAACTTACTATCAAGTTTTTCAAAACAATATTCTATTTGTAGGTGTGATGCTGCTCTGTCTCTCTGTGTAGTCATTTGAAAAGACAGGAGAAACACAAAGAGTTTTTTACTGATCCAATGCACATGAAGTCAGAGACAACAAATGGAGCTTTGTTCGCACGCTCCTTGAACAATGTCTGCGAAGTGCAATATAACCATTTTTTGTTTTGTGTGTGTTTGCAGGAAGGTGTTGTCACAGAATCCGATGTTCTGTGTGTGGTTCACTGTAAAAATCCCATTGTTCAACAGGGGAGCTGCTGCCCAGTATGTCCAGGTAAGACCCTGTCAGAAATTACTGGCTTGCAAGTCAGATACTGTATTTTACAGGGGACTCCCATTATTAAGCGTCTCATTACAGTGCATGTTCACTTAGAATACTGCTCTCCTGTGGATTTAGAGTTTCTGACTGAACGGCACGTGTAGTGAAACTGGCTATCGCACCTAGCGATGTCACAAGGCTCCACTATTTGTGTACAGATCCGTAACATTTCCAAGTGTCTGCTTTAAGTAATACTGTTTTCCAGTATAGCAATGTGCTGTTGGAAACTGGTTTTATATTTCCTGCTCTACACCCAATTGTAGGGGTGTGCAGAAAAACACCAAACACCTGAATTTGTTGTTGGGGGCATGTATAGAATATTGCACAACACTTCACAATTTGTGCAGGTGATGTGTCCCCAGGTGACAACCCACACAAAATACTTTTAGAGTGCTTCCCTCCAGGGGAGAGAGCCCACACACCATTTCAGACAAATGGAAATTGCCATGCATAGATGGAAATCTCAGTAGTTTAGATACGCTTAAGCATGACAATGGGTTTCCGTGTGTGTCAGACACCCAGGTTGATCCGGAACAAAACGTGAGGAGTGCCAATAGACAATAATGACACAATTCCTGTAGGCTCTTCCTACAGTTATTCTTGGGAAGTAATGTGGCCAGCATACAGTGTGCTGAGGATATATCAATGCCCAACATCATATACAAAACAACTAGGCGAGACCCAACAGCAAAATACAGGGTGTGAAGAAACCATGACAGAATTATGATCTCCGTGTGAGGAGAGATATTTATATATGATATGACGGCTTTAGTATTTTTTGTATTCAACACCTGCAGTGGGTTAAGCAACGTTAAAAAAAATGTATGTTTGGCATTTTTATAGCCCAAGAGATTAGTAGAATCTACTTTTTGTGAAGCCATACCTGCCAAATCTGACTTTCATTTCCACTGGTACTATATTTCTCCACATGAGAGTTTGTAAGTTATAAATCCTAGATTATCAAAGCTCTGCTGGTCCATTAGTCTGGACTGGATTCCCTTTCCCATATTTCTGGAGCACACACTGATACCGTCCCGCGTTTCTGGAGCACTCACTGATACCGTCCAGTTTTTCTGGAGCACACACTGATACTGTCTCGTGTTTGTGGAGCACACACTGATACCATCCCATGTTTGTGGAGCACACACTGATAACATTCTGTGTTTCTGGAGCGCACACTGATACCATCCTGTGTTTCTGGAGCACACACTGATACCATCCCATGTTTCTGGAGCACACACTGATACCGTCTCATGTTTCCGGAGCACACACTGATACCGTTCTATGTTTCTGGAGCACGCTTTATGAATGTTTCTGAATGTTATAAAATAGTGCTTTATAAATGTTAACTTTTTCAAGGAAAGTTTTTGAATATCACTGTTTCATAGCATCTGGCATAGGCACCATCAGAGTTCTGGTTTGGAAAGGGTTACACAGCCTGACCTGTGAGGGAGCTGGACTCACACACACACACACCATTGATGCTGATTTATGGCTATTAATGTAATTCCACTCCCACTTGGCTGTAACTCTGGATTCCCCCTGTGCTATTGTGTACTTCTCTTCAACCTATTTCCTAGGAGGACTCAACCAATGAACCTTAATCCCTGTGAGAAGGGCTTAGCTTTTGCTTAGCACCTCCTCCTTGGACACATCTGAAACTAGTATTATAATAATAATAAGCTTTGCTTTTGATATAATGTTTATAGCATCAAAACATATCAAAGCACTTCACAGGTACTGTAGTTGCTATTTAGTGTAGTTACCTTGCAGTTCAAGCAAACACAGCAGCCAGTGTGTAAACATCTAATGTCCCACAAACAACCCCAAAGTGAATGACCAATTTATCAGGATAATTGTTGGCCTGGAAACCAGGATAAACTCCTAATGGATTATTTAATGTTCATGCAAACAGGCAGGACCTCAGTTCAATGCTCATCTGTAGAAACACACTTCCAACAATGCAACACTTCCCCAGTACTGCATTGGAGCGTTAGGCTAGACTGCAAAGCTCAAGTCTCCACATAGGGTTCACTCCATAGCTTTCTGACCCAGAGGAAGAGCACTACCAAGTGAGCCAGGCTGACATTTATAAAGGGAAAGTACATGTGCAGAAGATTAGTGTGGCATCAAAAATATATTTGTTTTACACAGAATTATTAGGACACCAATGCCCTCCCAAAACAGTAGTTGAAGACAAACAGGACTAAACAGATGCTCTTTCAGAGAGCTAACACAAACACAATGTATTAACTTGCCTCCTCTTGCATCGTATGATCTAATCTATGATATATATTTGAATGCTCTGCTTGCAATGGTCATTCAAAACTCTGGAGTTTGTGTTCTCTCTGACACCCAAATGCAAGGATTATTTATATTGATGTTCTATTTATTTCAGGGTGTGTGTTCGGTGGCAGGCACTACAAAGAAGGGGACGAGTTCCACCCTGATGGAAATCGATGTATTAAATGTTCCTGCACTGTAAGTACAAAATAACACAACAGTTTTAGACCTTTACACAAAGTTCAGCCTGGCATCCGACACAACCCCAGTACTGGAAGCATCACCGAAAGTCAACAGCCACCCAGGGCACCATATAGTGTGAGCATAATATACACAAGGTGCTTCTGGTTCAGCTAAACTACTGTCTGGCTCAATCTTTCTGTCAATGCATCACTTGAATGTATATAATAGGATGAGGGGCGGTGAAGATGTGATATCTGTAACAGGAAGTAACATGCAAATAATAACTCCGGTCATAACCAGATGTTCGTTAAACTAGCTTGTGAGGAACTCAGCTTTGATTTACTGAGAAGATGATAGTAAAAATAATAATCTTTACATTTGATATAAATAAAATTGGCATTCACTTCATGACTGTTTGTGGGGCATTGCTGTGTGCATGGGCGACCATCTTCACCTACAAATATGCAGTCACTACACTTTGTAGTGTATCTTGTGAAGCGCTTTGAAGACGTCCTCCTGACAAGAAAGGTGTTGTACCAAATGCAGGGATTATTATTATTTTAGCGCCTCTCATGTTGGGAGTAAGTCCCAAAGTGCTGCCCTGGATTTTACTGTAGAGATTGCTTTGAACAGAGTTCTCACTGTCTGCCATGACACACATCTGGTTAATGACAGGAGTCGCTATTTGAGTCTCCCAGTTATTAATATTGTGGTTTAGTCTTCAACCTGATAAAATCAGCAATGAGTGACAGTTCACAAATGGTGGCCCTAAAATTCATTTCTCATTGTAATTTATTTATCCTGTTTTGCAAGTTATGTACAATTTTACGACTGCGTTTACCTATGGCTGAAACTTGTGTAAACAACAAATGGCCATGTTTGTGCCCAAACTAAACATTGTTCCAACAGCACAGTGCAGCTGCCATTCTATTAATCAAGCCTCCTTCCTTCTTGTAGTAATAATAATAATCCTATGTTTGATATAGCATCCTTCATGTTGGGAGGAGGTTTCAAAACACTTCACAAGATTTACTGTAAATGGAAGTGAATTTGTGTGTAGACAAAGCTGGCAGTAAATTTGCACACAGCAATGTCCCACAAGCAGCAATGAAATAAATGACCAATTTTATTTAGGGTATTGTTGATCGGGAGAACGTAACTTCTTTTGAGTAATGCCATAGGATCCATAACGTCCACCTGAAGAGACAGACAGATCTCAGTTTTATGTCTCATCTGAAGGACAGCACCTCCAACAAAGCAATGCTCTCGGTAATGCATTGAATAGTCATCTTAGATTATATGAGTTCAAAGTTCCAACATGGGCCTCAAAACCACAACCTTCTGACTCAGGAGAGATTGCTACCAACTGAGCCATGCTGAGTCTCGATGTGTTTTTTTTCGTTTTGTATCTTTTTTCTGCCAAACTACTTAGAGTAAAGCAACCTGTTCAAACATGTAAACTTTCAAATATGTAACTTTCTAAAAAAATAGTGGGGATGGTAAATTCAATTTTCAATTACGGATTCCATGTTCTGAAACATTGCAATTTTCTATCTATTCCTGAAGTCTGGACACTGGAATAAATCGCCCTTAAAGCCCACCCCACCCATCCAATTGTTGCAATCCCCCTGTAGTGATTCCCCTCCATTCATGGTGATCCTGTCACTCGTAGTGTTCTCCTGTCTTCCCCACCACTTCCCATTATTCAGTGTCCTGTCTGCCTGTTCGAGTGGATGTTAAAGATCCCATAGCATTCTAAGACGCCATCCAGTGTGTAGAGCCCAATGTAAATGCTAGTTGTTGTTGTGTGTCAGCCTGGCGCAGTGGTAGCACTCTCGCCTCTGGGTCAGAAAGTTGTGTGGAGAAATTTTACATAGGGACTTAAACTCACATAGTCTAAGGTGACGTTCCAATGGAGTGGCTGGTGTGCGTTGTATTGTCGGAGGTGCCGTCCTTCTGATGAGACATAAAACCAAGGTCCCGTTTGCCTGTTTGGGTGGACATTAAAGATCCCATGGCACTATTTGAAAAGAGAAGGGAGTTTCTCCTCGGGTCCTGGCCAGCAATCCCCCAAATAAAACTAGTTACTCACTCCACGGCTGTTTGTGGGATGTTGCTGTGTGCAATTGTGCTGCTCTATTTGCCTACAAATACACAGTCACTCCATTTCACAGTACATACTGTGAAGTGCTTTGAGAGGTGCTATACCAAATGCCAAGGATTATTGTTACTATTGTATTGCCTCACAGATTGGTGTTGTTTAACACAGCACAGATGACAAATTTCATGCTTAAGATCCAAAGGTAGGTGGCTGTACTTTACCTCAGTTTTAAAATATTCTCAATAATTCTGCCACTGAATGCCACTGAATGCCACTGAAAACACAACCTGCTTGTATCAGTGCAGCACTTCATAACCAGAATACCTCTCAGAGCATTCTGCACTTACTTTTGTTAGTTTTTGGTCTTCCCATTAAAACTGTGCCTCAGACTTGACTAGAGTTCTGTTAGTGTACCCTATTACTAGGCAGGAGTTTCATTCAGGATACAGTTAAATTATTAGAATTCTCTCCCATATTCTCACCTACACTAAACTCCGTACCCCCATCACCCCAGTCCTCACCAGGCTCCACTGGCTCCCTATCACAGAAAGGATTAATTTCAAGATCCTCACAGTCGGCTACAAATCCCTTCACGCCCTGACACCTCCCTACCTTTCTAACCTGCTTCCTCCCCACTCCACTATCCGCCTCTGCTTGGCTGGCCTCCTGCTTATTCCTTGCCCTATCTGCTCCACCATCGGTGGCTGACTTTCAACCACTATGCCCTGAAGCTTTGGAACTGTCTCCCCCAATCCTTCTGCCTTGCCCCCTCCTTCCCCTCTTTTAGATCACTGAACACCTTCCTCTTCAATCATGCTTACGGTCACTTCCTCCATCCCCCCAACTCGGCGTCAGTCTCAGTTCCCTGTTAAGCACTTCGAGACCCTGCCCCAAATGGAGGCGGTATATAAATACAAGTTGTTTTTGAATTAGGAAGGACAAGCTCTGTGTCCCCATTACTTCCATCCCCACCTTAGTCTATATTTACTCTAATTATATAGCATTTCAGCACATCTAGAATTGAACTAATTGTCGGATTAACTTTGAAACTGTTTTTTTGTAGCTCTTAAAAGAAACTTACAGAAAGTGAGCTTCAAGATTATGGTTCTGTTTAAGAATTTGCTCACACTCTGAAGTGCTACATAAAAAGAGTAAATCTAGACCCAGGTGAAGTTTCTTTCCCCACACGTGTGATACTGAGTCATACAGGACCAGAGGTGCCAGGTTCAGTCCCTATCCTGGTCTGAGTTAGCTCCAGTTAGGATGTCTATGATGTAAGGGGGAGGAGTCCCAGTCTTGTTCTGCAACTGAACATTACTATTTTTTAAAACCTCTAATTCCAAAAACAAGAAAGCTATAGCAGTCGAGGAGGGTTGAAATGTTACAATTAACCCTGTGTCCCTGAGCTGGGGAGGGGAAAAACTCAGCCAGTGCTCGTGCTCCTGTTTTCTATCCAATAATCTCTCCTGGAAAGTGTGCAATGGGATGTCAGGTGTTGACAGGATCAGTCTAGGCTGTGACGTTCCCCTTCCCCCAGCCCAGTCACAGACTGCTAACACTCAATGCCTTGGCTCACAAATGAATAACGGCAACTCTGGGTGAGGTATGAGTCACTGCTTTCAGGAGACAGAATTGAATTTCCCTCCTGGAGAGTTATTGAGCTTGGGAAGCAATGCTGTCAGCTGATCTGTCTGTATATACATATTTTTTTCATTCTGAAAACTACAATATACCTAGTGACTAAAGGGTATCAATTTAAGCAAACGGACAAATTAGGAGGTTAGGAGAGCTGTTTTTACACACAAAATGGGATATGGAATGCACTGCCAGGCATAGTGGTTAAGCAAAAATCATATTAGCTTTCAAAAGGGAACTAGATAGATATCTAAAGAGGAGTAAACTACAAGGGTATAGGGGAAGGGAGTGTGAATGAAATAAAAGGATTGCTCTTAAAAAACACAATGGTCAAATGGCCTTTTTCTACTGTATTTATATGGTTCTATGGTTCTAGTTATTTGAGCTGTGCATTGACACATCATAAACCTCTATATCTGCAATTGTTGCTTCGTTGTGCTTGAATTACAGGCTTTAAAAATGGTACCATTCATAGAATAACATTGTGAGGAAAGCCCATTTTTGGAGAACCATTTGTTTCTAATCATTCATTTCTCCCAAGGGTATGAGTGAAATAGTTCTTGACACTCATTCTTATGGGTAGAGAGGGAACTCAGGAGGAACTTCTTTCAAATTCATCTCTAACAATTTATTCCCTTAATTGCAATACCATTCGTACACGTGTCATGCAGAGGTCTGAGGATCCACTCATTCTGCAGCTCCACAGACAGTCTAGCTCAACCTTTATCCCAGTTGATGCTGAGGAGCAAACCCCTTGGGTTAACTCATGAAATAGTCAGCATTGTGTTTCAATTAAGAGGGAAGTTGAAATACTGTATTGTCTAACGCAGTGTGGCCAACCTTTAGTCGGCAAACAAAATAAATGTTCTTGATGGAATATTTCTTGATTTAAGCTTTAAATCAAGAATTATTCAATCAAGAAAAACCTGAAGACACATTACCAATCGAACACGGAGTTAGATAGACTTGTGTGAATGTTCAGGGTGGGGTAACGCTTTTGTTGGCCTGGTTGACACTTCCGGCCTTCGGGCCATGAGTTAGCAACCATTCGTCTTGACTCACCCCTCGATCCCTCTGATCTCTCACCCTACGTTCCATTTCCAACCTACCCTTCCTTACCAAAGTCCTGGAACACATTGTTGCAGGTCAATTTCAGTCACATCTTTCCCTCCACTCCCTCCTCAAGTCCCTGCAGTCTAGTTTTTCACCCTGCCCACAGCACAGAGGCAGTGCTTGTCAAAGTCACAAGTGTTGTCCTCTCTATCTGTGACCAGGGCTC